CCCCAAAACCCCAAAACCCCAAAACCCCAAAACCCCAAAACCCCAAAACCCCATGTCAAATAATTAATATTGAAAATGGAGAGTCTCAGAAGGGGATTCAAGAAGATGGTCCAGTTTATCAAACTATGGATCAATAAATTCTTCTTGTTTATCAAACAACACAAGTTTAAATCAGCCATAGCTGCTATTGCAATAGTGGCTCTTCTTGTGAAGAGACTAATGAGGAAGTATTTATATGCCAGTCAGTTCTTAAATTTGGTATCTGAAGATAAAGTTTTCTCAGTCTTTGTATATGGAATGTTCCTGAGTTTCAAGATGAAAGGGTCCAGCACTCTGTATTTCACTGATAGATCAATGCTGACAGACTCTGATCTGTTCCATCTCTTCAATAAGCATCGGATAAAATTTGCCACTTCACCTATCGAAGATAGGCTTATTGGCACAATAGTAGTTGGAGTTATTCTCCCAGCTCTAGTCATGGTGCTAGCAATGAAGAATTTGATGATCCCTAAGAAAAACTCAAATCATCTCTTCCAAGGGGACGAGAACATGGTTCTCTTCTCTGACATTGGAGGCAATGAATTTGCTAAGAGCTCTCTACAAGAGATCATTGATTACATTAAGAGTCCAGATGATTACAGTAGTTATGGAATCAGACTTCCTAAAGGAGTGCTTTTGTATGGCCCACCAGGAACAGGTAAAACTTTATTGGCTAAAGCAGTTGCTAATGAATGTGGTGCTAACTTCCTTTACACTTGAGGATCAGATTTCGTTGAAATTTTTGTAGGTCAAGGCCCAAAAAGAATCAGAGAGATGTTTAAAGAGGCAAGGTCATACAAAAAGTGTATCATCTTTATCGATGAAATAGACTCTCTTGGTTATGAAAGAAACAAGCAGTCTCTCTGTAAAGAAGCTGATAATACACTCAACCAACTTTTGTCTGAGATGGATGGATTCCAAGAAAGCAAGGGCATCACAGTTATTGGAGCTACCAACCAGCCTGATATTTTAGATAAGGCGCTTCTCCGTCCTGGTAGATTTGATAGGAAAATCAGTAAGCTCTGCTCTCCATTAACTTTATAGAAATTAATTTGCCTGAAAAGGCTGAGAGATGTGATATTTTAAATATTCATCTTAGTAAAAGAATGACTGACGTCACTCAAGAAGGAGTCCAAGAAGTCGCAGAAATTACCAAAAATTTCTCAGGATCTGAGCTAGAAAACATCGTCAATGAAGCTTCCTTCGCTGCTTATAGAAGAGCAAGGAAGAATATCAGACAAGGAAAAATTAGGAATGATGACATTAAGGGTAAGTTTCAAATGAATATTTCATAGAATGAGCACAAAGAGCTATTCAAGAAAAAGAGTCTCTTGAGGGCAATAAAAGAAATTCCCAGGCTGACTGGACAAGCATATACAAGAACCTGATTATTAATCCTCATGCGCTTTCTAAATAAGTATAATCATACGTCATTATTCAATAAATATAATGATAAGGGGTTTTGGGGTTTTGGGGTTTTGGGGTTTTGGGGTTTTGGGGTTTTGGGG